TCGTCGACGACCGAGTGCTTTCCGATCGGCTCGATTCACTGGCGCTGCGAAGAGATGTTGCATCTCTTTGCGTATTTTATCGCATCTATCACGGGGAGTGCTCTGAGGAATTGTTCGGATTAATCCCAGCCGCCAAATTTCGTGAACGCACTACACGTCAAACGTCCCGATACCATCCACACCATCTGGATGCTTGGCGGTCCACCACTGTACGTTTAACAAGGAGTTTTTTTCCACGTACAACCTCTCTGTGGAATAGTTTACCACCGGCGATTTTTCCGGACCGATACGACCTGGGGACCTTCAAGAAAAGAGCTTACTCCTTTCTAAAGGGCCGGCAACGCACCCGCAATTCTCCTGGTGTTGCGGTTGATCATGGGCGGCGGTAGTCACTTAACATCAGGTGAGCCACATGCTCGTTTGCCCGTTCTTCTATAAAAAAAAAACATGGCTGAGATTTTCCTCCAATGGGCACCACAGAGGAAGGAATAAAAAGTTCCATACCCTGGAGTACCACATCAGCGACAGAATCCGCAACAACGCTGGGATCGTCCGGCGAGAAGCAAACCCAACCAACCCAAGATGCTAAGAAAGACCGCATCCCATCCCAATCGGCTGACCTATAGTGCCAAACACGGCGGCAGCCTGCAGAATGCAACTGCGATTTCAGCGTGCGTGAGTGAGCTTCATAATAATTGTAGAAGTATTTAATTGTATGCTTAGTTTTTTTGTTATTATTGTGTGTACTTCATCTCTGAATATATAAAAACATAAAATGAACAACGCACAATTATACCAGTAGTTAATTAAGTAAAAAAATAAATGACGACTCCGTAGCGCAGTGGCTAAGCGTTTGGCTGCGGCAATGCAGAGTTCGTTCCCACAGTCTATAAGTGTTTCTATGATGTAAAATAAATAGTCTGCACCAGGGTGCTTTTTTTAACCTGTTTTTTTTTTAAATGGTGAAAATATTGTTTTTTTTTAACATTGATTGGATTAATTTGCTTCCAACTGTAACAAATACTATGTACAAATCGCCAAGCTTCTTTACGGAGGTAGTATGTACCTCGCAGAGATTGTTTACTCATAGTCGCTTTCAAAATTAGTGCTCATTATAGCTAATGTTTGTAGATGAATTTATAAAAAAAACAGTGAATATTTATAATCAGGTAATTACAAACAATTTCGAGTTTAGTTATATAATCGAATTCTTACCAAAATGTGAATTTAGAGGGATATTATCTTCTGATACATATAAAGGAATTCTAATCAACATGCACATAATTGTGGAAGCTTTAAGTCAATTTAAGTCTCACAGAATACCAGCGTTAGATAGTAGTTTAATGCTGCTGTGTTTCCTATGGTGAGTGTAGAGAACCGGATACCCTCTTTACTGGAAACGAGGCATTCCATCTTAGTCCTCATGGGTGACAACGCATCTACATTTTGCTTTGTAATCGAGGATAGATGTAGATGTCTATGGGCCGCAGCAACCACTTACCATCAGGTGAATTATTTACTCGTTTGTCACCCTATCGTATAAAAAAAACTGATGAAATATCAGTTCGTTTTTAGTTGGGTTTAAATCCTCGGATTTGCAATGTTTGTCAGAAACATGTTTTAACCTGTGAAACTTTTCAATTGGCCAGGTCTTCATTCCCAACTAATTTCACCCATTGCTTATATCTGTAAAAATAATATAAATAAAATCACATTTTTATTGAACAAATAGAATGTAAGCAGTCACAATTTATAATATAGTTTTATAGGTCACAAAAATCTAAATAATAAGGCACTAGAAGTGCCTTCTACTGTCTTTTAATATCGGGACACGTGTCGCCGGTTTGCAGTTATCACACATAAGTAGACAAACAATAAATACACAATTACGCCTACACGTATCACCACCATTCATGCAACAAAGATTAAACTATAAAACTATTGCGTTAAGGAATATTTTATAAAAACGTAAAATCTCAGGAGGCGACTCAAAATTATTTACATTAGTTTAAGAAATTAATTATTAAGGTTAATTAAAAAATGAAAATAATTACAAAAATATATAATATATTTTTAATATAAATATATTTTTGTGGCTATAATCTACCAAATACAACATGCTTACTTTTAAAATTACTTTTAAAATAGCTACTTACCGCACTTTAGCTATTAACTGTTATATAATCCTACTTTAACTATTATTTGTTAAAGCTGCAATCGACCTCAGAAAAAAAGTGTTTGCCAAAGGGCAGGCATATGGGCTACATTTAATGCTTATAATGCTGTGGCATTCACTTGCCATCAGATGGACTGTGTAGTCGTTTGTTACCCTTATTCTATAAAAAGAAAATAGAAGGCGATTGGTCGAGGGCATCAACCCAACCTTAATAACACACTGTATTTGTTTCGTAAGCTTTTTGTATATTATGAAGAAGGCAAACAGTTGACAGGTTGTTTTGATGTGTGTGCTGTGACACTGTGTGAAACTGTGACCCAAAGACTTTTACGATCTCAAGGTCGACGAACCGCTACAGATTCCAACCCTAAGGACTAAGATTTAATACCCCGTGCCACCTGTAAAATATTGAATACGTAGTAGGTATTAGTCATAGCTTTGAAATGAAGCTCAGATTTCTACACTTCAAGAAATATACAATGTTAGATTTAATTTTTATTAGCCATTAATCGTCATTTACCCTACCAGTATCTATATATATATATATATATATATATATATATATATATATATATATATTGATGATATAATATATATAAATTCATCTGCGCAAACGTTAATCGATGCTATTAGCTTATTTACTCCTGATTCGTTGTCATATGCATGTGCGACAACATTAGCGGAAATCCACGTGGTGAAAAAAAAAGAAAAATTTCACTATTATATTTTAAATAAAGCGGTTTACTGTAGATTGAAAAAAAAAAGCGCAATATTATAACGAAGAATTTGACTTAATATAAATAGATACATATTTCTAATAGTAATTTCTACTATTTTATTATTACTAATACTTATTACTACTTATTACTATTACTTATTATAACTTATTACTTATAACTTTCATTGATGTATTGTGTCTTTTCTTGAATAAGTATTACGGACCGGATTAATAAAAATCCTTAATTTTATTAAGTCATTGGCTAAATGGATTTATTAATAACGTTTTTGTGTGATGTAGTGCTGTAGCCCACACGACATAGTTATAAATTAGAGTTAAGGTTGTAATAAAGAGTAGTATGATTAAAGTTTTAGTACCAACAACACGTCTCCTTCATTGACACCTTTCCTACGTTACATTTGTTTTGCTAATACGTCTTATACACGGTCCATCTTGACGTACGTCCGCTCAAGGTCATGCACGATGCACGACGCAAAACGGCAATGAGTAGGCCTGACGTACGTCAATAATTATTATTAATTGCTTGCAGGACGAGCTGGATGCATTTTGTATCCAGCAAGCCTCCTCACTACTTTTCGTGTCGTGCTGATGGATAATGAATAGGCTGGACGTACGTCAAAGCTGTCATGCATCAAGCATGCTAGATCGTGTGGATACAGGCTATACAGCAGATTTGTCATTTTATATAGTAACGATGCATGCGTTCGCTTTGTTGTCAATCAATTTAGATTTTTACACGCATTCCCGCGACATGGTAAATAAAAGAAAAAAATTTTTTATTTCTTTGATCACTATATTATTAATAAAAATAGCTTAAGATCTCACTAAAGATTTGCAATTAATTTTGAACAAAAAAAGGTTAAAAATCAAAAGTAAAAAAATGTAAATGTTAAATCGCGAAAATATGACACAATTTATTAAACAATATCGATTCCATACGTGTTTGTGTACGGATTACATAAACAATCAATAAATTTAAAAATTAAAATTTTATACAACCGACTTCAATATAAATTATTAAGAATAACTCAAAAACCATTGGTAATACCTTGATCAAATTTATATGGGACCACATGAGAAGCACCACCTTTCAAATGAAAAAAGAATCGTCGAAATCGCTTCACGCAGAAAAAAGTTGGTGATGAGGTAACACACGTATAAAAAAAGAACATACAGTCGAATTGAGTACCTCCTCCTTTTTGAAGTCGGTAGAAAAATAACACAGGCATTACAGACATATAGACCCCATAGTGGGAGAAGCTGCAACTATAGATAGCGTCCAAAAAATTATGTTTTAAGGAACGTTCATTATCGAAAGTTACAAAAGGTCAAAAGCAGATCTTCTACAGGATCGTCCAAAAACGATGTTTACATACCAACGTTATGGTATTTTAATTTAATGTCGTTTTTATCAGCCGAAGAAATATCCAATCCAGGAACTGATGGCCTAACAGAACAGGTATGTATCTGTCTGCAAAGGTTTAACTTACTACTTATTATAATGATGTATCACTAGTTTTCAAAGTCGGGTTTTATTGGGTTTTATCATTTCCAAAGTTTTAACCCCAAAACGGCAAAGCTGAAAGGAAGAGTTATGAGTTTAGCACTCCATTTATTTATTTTTTATTTTTATCTTCTTAAAAATCTATCTTCTTTACTTTTACTTTTACTTACTAGGATTTCCTCCTGTATCGTCGAGGCAGTTTACAAACATAAATTTCACAAGGACGAACATCCAGACCCAGAACACATATTTGTAGGCCGTACAAATACATGTTCCGTGCGGGAATCAAACCCGCGGCCCCAGCGCGTATTTTATTTTCGTAGTTGGGTAGTTTTTTTTAATACTTACTGCATGTTAAATCTCACTGAAACGGGACAATGGGGAGTTCTCAATTTTTTAAATTACACTTGGTGGGACAGAGCAGAGTGAAGGATTTCATACATTTTAGGTGAAATAATAAAAAGTAAGATATAGTTTAATTATAAAGTTTTAAATTTATTTCCGTAATAACGTAGGTTTCATTCGATTTTGGGACTCAACTTTCCCTTCACGACAAAAATATCTTCTATATCCCTCTCTGATCACATGGCCTTGTTCATTAAAAAAAGGTAGTTTTCTTCATTATCTAAAAATTGGTAGTAATTACGAAAATCTCCTGATATTACATTCCCCGTCATTGTTTCTTCTCGATCCAATAATGATTCTGGTGAATCAGTACTATTAAAAATCTGGAATAAAAAATTATGTAATGCCCAATATGTCAATATTACATAATCTAAATTACACACATTAATGTTGATAGGTTTATAAAATAAACTGAAGCGTGTTGCTAAAATATCAAAGGCATTTTCAGATACACGTCTAGCACGAGATAATCTGTAGTTGTACACTCTTTTTGCGTAATGAGAATAAGGTACAAGTAAATTATGCAATAAAGGAAATCCAGAATCACCGATAAAAATATAAGGAGCTGTAACATCGAAAAACGGCAAAATACTGTTTTCTGGAAAATTCAGTGATTCATCAATAAGTTTTTCGTAAAACTTCGTTCTTTTTAAATTGCCGGAATCTGCTGCTCGTCCATTCATTCCAGCACGAACATAGATGAATTCATATTTAGCATTAACCAAGGCAAAAAGTATGACACTAAAATATTTTTTATAATTGTAGTAATTAGAACCACTTGGGTAAGGTATAGATAAGGTATATATGAATATGCTTTCCGTCCATTGCACCCAAGCAGTGGGGAAACTGCCATTTATATTGGAAGTCCTCTGCGATATGTTCCCATTTCTCAGGAGATGATGGGAACTAAAAAAATTACGTAAGTAGTATTAAAATTTTTTTCCTTTAGGTAACTGGAGAAACTTCGAGTGAAATTAACAGAAAGAAACGGGGAAATACTAAAATTCAAGAGGAATTGGCCAATGTTGTAAAATTACAAAAAAAAAAACATTACTCATAACAATATGTTAGGCTTATATTTAAGCCAGCAACTACAGAATCTTTCAAACGATCAGAAAATTTTTGCTGAAAAATTGATGTCAGACGTTTTGTATCTGGCTAGAACTAGTCAATTAAATGAAAATTCCCAAATTATCAGATCGTCTGTCATCGACACTTGCATACCAACTTCATACATTACTTCGCCACAGAGTCACAATCCATTTCCAATCACTGAATGTCCACTATCTCACATATTCACATAATCTTCCACGCCAATTCAAAACATTACATCGCCACAGAGTCACACTCCATCTTCAAACACTGAATGTCCACTATCTCACAACTTCACATACTCTTCCACGTCAATTCCAAACATTACATCGCCACAGATTCATACTCCATCTTCAAACACTGAACGTCCACCATCTCACAACTCCACATACTATTTCACAATTCCACATACACTTCCATGCCGGTTAGGTACATTATTTTGCCACTAAAAATTCTGTTGAATTAAGTTCTACTCCTTCATATTCCAAACAATACATTTCCACGCCAGTTAATACATTACTTTACCACTAAAAAAATCTGTTAAAATAAGTTCTACTCCTTCATCTTCGAAACAAAACACTTCAACGCCGGTTACATACATCACTTTGCCACGGAAACATTATGTTAAAATAAATTCTATTCATTCATCATTTAAACATTCTTCGGAAAATATTCAAATATTGGAGTCAAACACCAGTTTAACTTTCAAACTTATCGCAGGTGCTCCCAAACACTAAATTTTTTGACACTCCGCTTGATGAACAGAGTGTAGACAATAGCAGCATGCCGAACCAACTCAAATTTTAAAAATAAATTTAAAAATGAGTATTGCTTTTACAAATTTTTTGCGATGTTTCTTTTTGTCAATTTCAGTTCAGAGTAAATTTGTAAAACATTTCTGTAATAGACTTTTTTTTAATAAATACGTATTTAATTATTAGAATTTATTTTAATATACTTACCTTGAGAAAACCTTTTTTAATGCTTTATAAATAGCAAAACAAGTCTCAGGAATGATTTGACTTATCGATTGTGTTGATATTGCATGCCCAACCATAAGTTCTGGATAACTTTCTCCCGTTCCAAGATATCGGAGATTTTTAATGATTACAATGATTACAAGTTACATGTAAACGCTCCTTTGCCGAAATACTTACTGGCATAAGTGTGTTACTACGTTGTATTTCAGGGCCCACCGTCTCCAACAACATTTGTAGTATTTCGTTGTCTAATCTGAGATACGTGTGGAAATCTATCACATTCAAATCTTGCATTATATTATTAATTTGTGTATACTGGGCACGTTTTTTATAGATTGTTTTCATCCAGAATCTTTTCCTTTTTTTTCTTTTTTGTGTTCTTAAGTTAACATACGAAAAATTCCTAATCTTTTGGCGTCTTGACAACACTGGTGGCATTACAAAAAAAAATGCGTGCTTTCACTACTAAAGTTATGTTGCATCTAGCACTGTCGGTGGAGATAATATAGCACGCTAGATGCGCGCACGATAGTGTGTATGCTACGTACAGCACCTGCCAGCACCGCGGCCTTGAGCGGACGTACATCAAGTTGGACCGTGTATTAGACGCTTAATGCCACATCAATAGAGGTGTCTATGGAATGGAATAACGGCAACAACTTTGTAAAAGTCAGAAGGTAAGAATAATAGTAATAAAGTAATGGATATGGTGGCGACCATGGTAACGGCGGGGCAGGGGTGCTAAGAATCTCCGGTGGAGGTTTGGTTGCCACCTACGACGACTCGACCTGGCAACATATAACGCACGCACCCTGAGGACTGACGAGAAGATACTGGAGCTGGAAGAAGAGGTAGACAAGTTGCGCTGGCATATTATTGGATTATCCGAGGTCCGAAGAGAGGGGGAGGATACGGCAATCCTCGAGTCCGGCAACTTGTTCTACCACCGGGAGGGCGACCATCTGTCCCAAGGAGGTGTCGGATTTATCGTTCACAAGTCTCTCGTCAACAACGTTGTAAAGATTGGGAGTGTGTCGACGAGGGTCGCGTACCTGATACTCAGAATCACCAAACGGTATTCGCTGAAGGTCATACAGGTTTACGCACCAACCTCGGCACATCCCGATGAGGAGGTAGAGGAAATCTACGAGGATATTTCCAGAGCCATGCATTCCTCCAAAACCCACTACACGGTGTTGATGGGAGACTTCAACGCAAAACTGGGCACAAGAGAAAGCGGTGAGCTGAAGGTGGGGAAATTTGGAGTAGGGCAACGGAACCGAAGGGGCCAGCAGCTGGCCGACTTTATGGAGAAAGAGGGACTCTTTATGATGAAATCTTTCTTCCAGAAGCGGCCCCACAGGAAGTGGACCTGGTCGAGCCCCGACGGTTCGACAAAAAATGAGATTGACTTCATTATGACGACCAGACGCCAACTGTTCAGTTATGTCTGAGTGATCGCAAGGGTGAAAACTGGCACCGAACACCGAATGGTTAGAGGCACACTGAACTTAAAAGTGAAGTTGGAGAGGTCTCGTCTAGTGAAGTCAACGCTCCGTCCCCCTCGTGCTCTAATCCAGAATCCCGAAACCTTTCAGCTCGAGTTACAAAACCGCTTTCAGTGCCTAGAGGATTGCAATGCAGTGGACGATGTGAATGACAAGCTCGTGGAAACTGTCCATGCGGTCGGAGCTAAGTTCTGCAAGACCCGCCGCAGAAGAACACAAAAACTCTCCGATCACACTCTTAATCTCATGGCTGTTAGACGGGAGATAAGGCTGCAATCGTCAACAGATTTGACAGCATACAGGCAGCTTAACAGACAGATCTCCAAATGCATGCGGCGAGACTTACGCAACTTTAATACTGCTCGTATTAAAGAAGCAATCGAGCGGAACCAGGGCTCCAAAGTCTTTGCCAGAGATCTGTCTGCCAGAAGGATCCAACTGTCAAGGCTGAAGACTGAGTGTGGCAAAATTTTTCCGGGACACCTGAGATTCTGAGTGAGATTGAGAGGTTCTATGGGCAGCTGTACACATCATCGTTGGAGCCACACGCAAGTGTGAGTAACGATGCAAGAGCAAGTCTTATCCGACACCATTCCGATGATATCCCGGACGTCAGTCTGAGCGAGATTAGAATGGCTCTCCCCCACCTTAAAAACGGCAAGGCCCCCGGGCGAGGATGGAATTACAGCGGAGCTTCTGAAAGCGGGTGGAACACCGGTACTTGAAGTCCTTCAGAAGCTCTTCAATTCCGTCCTTCATGGTGGCATTACTACGGAGGCGTGGAGCAGAAGCGCGGTGGTCTTTTTCTTTAAGAAAGGCGACAACGCTCTCTTGAAGAACTACAGACCGATTTCCCTTCTGAGCCGCGTCTACGTGCTGTTTTCGAGAGTCATTACGAATCGTCTCGCACGCAGACTCGACGACTTCCAGAACAAGCCGGTTTCCGAAAAGGCTTCAGTACCATAGACCACATACATACCCTTCGGCAAATTGTACAGAAGTCCGAAGAGTACAATCTGCCACTTTGCCTGGCGTAGGTGGACTATGAGAAAGCCTTTGATTCCGTCGAAATTTGGGCGGTGCTACAGTCTCTTCAGCGGTGCCAAGTTGACTGTTGGTATATTGAAATGCTGAAGTGTTTGTACAGTAGGGCTACGATGGCTATCCGAGTACAGAACCAGAGTACGAAACCTATCCAATTGCAGAGAGGTGTAAGACAGGTTGATGTTATATCCCCGAAACTCTTCACCGCTGCGTTGGAAGACGTTTTCAAGCTACTGGACTGGAAAGGATACGGTATTAACATCAATGGCGAGTACATCACTCACCTTCGATTTGCCGACGATATAGTCCTTATGGCAGAATCGCTGGAGGACCTTAGCACTATGCTCAATGACCTCAATGGTGTCTCCCAACGGATAGGTCTTAAGATTAACATGGACAAAACAAAGATCATGTTTAATGTCCATGTCACACCTATGCCGGTAATTGTTGGGAGCACTATGCTCGAAGTTGTTGACGAGTACGTTTACCTGGGACAAATAGTCCGACTAGGTAAGTCCAACTTCGACCGAGAGGTCAATCGACGGATTCAACTCGGCTGGGCAGCGTTCGGGAAATTACGACACATCTTCTCATCAGGTATACCTCAATCTCTGAAAACCAAAGTGTACAACCAGTGCGTGTTGCCAGTGATGACTTACGGATCTGAGACGTGGTCCTTCACCGCTGGCCGTATGAGGACGCTCAAGGTCGCTCAGCGAGCTATGGAGAGGGCTATGCTCGGAGTTTCTCTGCGTGATAGACTCAGAAATGAGGATATCCGCAGTAAAACCAGAGTGACCGACATAGCCCAACGGATTAGTAAGCTGAAGTGGCAATGGGCCAGCCATATAGCTCGAAGAACCGATAACCGATGGGGAAGAAAGGTTCTCGAGTGGCAGCCTCGTACCGGTAGGCGTAGTGTAGGGCGACCCCCACTAGATGGAGTGACGACCTGGTAAGACATGCAGGAAGTCGATGGATGCAGGTGGCTCAGGACCGTGTTTTGTGGCATTACTTGGGGGAGGCCTATGTTCAGCAGTGGACTTGTGAAGGGCTGTAATGATGATGATGATGAAGAATAATATAGCTATCTTATTTTGTACTATGTTAAACGTCATATGAATAAAGAGTTCAGCTATAAGATTTTTTTTATATTTTAGGATTCTCTCTATGCTAGTAATTCCTCTGAGTGTTGCTCTATGTACATATATTACTACTGACTACTTTTTATTTGATTATCGAAGTGTAAAAAGAGAAGGTGGTAATGTTTGTCTTTTATTTGAAAGATTATTCGCATAGAATATACTAGCGTATAGTAGACGACCTAACAACTCGAAAACGCGTGAAAATTTTTGATTTGTCATTGTGTGTGTGATGTACAGTCAGCGTCAAAAGGAAGGTAGCAGTCAAGGTGATCAAATATTTTGAAACATCCAAAGTGATTAATAATATTTAACCATCCAAAGTATAGGCAAATTCTTGTGATCCGATATATTATTCAAATATATCGGAATATATACAAGTATACCGTCAAATATATGGTTTCAGTCAAACGGACCTTAATACAGTAACAAACAAAAGGTCAAAGGCAGCGAAGCAGTTAAAGTTCGTAAAAATGCGGGACACAACAGGAAAAATAACTTTATCTTAATACGATAGAGTGCATTTTATTTTGCTCTAAGTTTTATTATAAAAAAATATACAATATATTATGTACTTTATATTAAATTACCAATGTTCCATCTAATGCAACTCAGAATTATTATTTCGCTTACTCTTAATTTATGATTGACGACATTGACATGTTTTGTTTAGTTTACATTTTTATAAAACTATTTATGATGTTAATATAAATTAAATTATAGAATCTCAATCTTGTGACTGGTAGCTTCCCGTGTCTTTATTCGCGTACTCATATATTGTTATTGTAAAAACTATAAATATTTTGTGACGATAATTGGTTTTTTTTTGGAACAACTGTCGATACCTATACGAAAAGACGAAAAACAAGGAAAAGTTTATTTGTGGGATATTTGTGTGCCAACAAGAAAGATAAAAGAAATTAAATAATTTTCAATGTTTTAAGCAGAGCCAAACTCCGCCATCTTCGTCCTTATGTTCTGTTCTGTTCTTCTGCTCTGCAAGTAGAAAATATTATTAAAAAATTAAAATTACATTTAAGGACTTTTTTGTATAAAAAGTTGTTTATTTCACCCATTTGATCTCTACTATACATGTCAATCTGGAAAGAGCTTCGTATATGTATTGACTCATGGCACTATAGTTTTATGTGAAAATCGATTAGCGTTATAAAGTTCGGACGGCCGATTGGTAGATGGCGATTGCCTCGTAATTACTGCTACAAATTAATGTAACCAAGGCTTGAGTGATCACTACAGATACAGATTATTAGATTGGAATGAGTAAGTTATTAATTGATTAACGAGTACATAACAAATTACACAACAAATACGTAAATAAATACATACGTAAATGTTATAACTGCACTCTTATTTTAATTTTTATTTTACTGTTTTTTTGGTTAGATTTAAAAATGTATTAATTTATTTTATTAGCCTCAGTTGGTAGTTGAATTTTAGACCCATGACTTAGTAGACAAGTACTGTGATCACTAAGTCACTCCCTTGTCTGACGACTCCGTAGCGCAGTAGCTAAGCGTTTGGTTGTTGCGCTTCAGGACCGCGGGTATGAATCATAAACGAAACAAGGATTTCTATAGCATACGAGGGTTACACTGAAAGTTCTTAGAAAATCAAAAACTGAACAAACAAA